CCATGGCATAGGCCAATCCTAGTACTTAACAGTAGGATCGTAAGGACTTCTCATAGATTATATTACTCTGTCCTATATGAATCCCAAAGAGGTTTTGGATCCAGATGAGTGACCAGGTATTTATCTTTATCACGAGCTTTCTAAATTGTCATGTGCTTTGTACCAACTTACATATATGCTATGTTTTTAATAGGTTTAGGATACCGGGCCTTGGAAAAGGAAATCCATGGTCAATAAGGCCAATCATAACACCAAGTTTGAGGGGCTGTTATATAGACACACCAGAGGATTGATCAGTACTAAACAACAACAGAGACAAGAGGGTGAGTATATATATTTTTTTGAATATGTAATTAGTTCTCTATGTTTACTAACAAATTAACTTCATTGTCAAATGTAGGCATAGATAATGGGTCGCAAGCCGACTGCTACTGAGGTGTTTGAGCGTACCCACTGAACGAACCGGAAATTCACTCCATGTTCGTCCGCCCCGCCTACTAGTCCACCTCAGTTCAGTTACCCCAAAGTGGCTAGGTTTCATGTAAGTTTTCTAAAACCATTACTTTGTCTTATAGATACATTTGGTAGGTATAAAATAATATATTTTAATAAACACATTGATGCTATTAGTTTAGGCTACCATTAGGCTAAATAGATAGGTTGGTTGAGAATGTGACTACCACTGGTAATTAGAATGCTTTAATTGTTAAAAACAAGCATTGAATATGTTTGATTTACAACCGTTATGCTGCTGAAATTTCTATATATATAAGCTTAACTGTTTTTGTTTTGGTAAACCATAGGAGTGATTTCTATCACTTACGGATGAATCGCAATCTAGTGCGGACATCCTCCCCCTGATGAGGCATCTCTTAGGGAGCAGAGTGTCGGAGGACCTCCTAGGATCTCTCTTATGTTATGACCGTTCGATGTAGCATTAGTGGTAGGAGATCATACGATACTAGATCAACCGCGAAAGTATGTTGATTATATTGTTATTTACTTTGTCATTACTTTTCATTGCGAACAAATTACTGATTTTTGTCAAATATTGAATATTTACAGGTATTGGAGTTCAGAGAGAAATTGGCAAGGGTAGAGGAGGACGCACGGGTGTAGGAGTAATGCTATTGGGCCAATACGGAGGCCGAACAGAAGAAAAGGGAGGCCGAGATGGAGGATGAACAAAAAGAGTAGGGTAGATCTGGAGGCACAACAGCCAGATGCGCTACCCAGTTAGCCAAGAAGATTGCATTATCGAAACATTTTGCTACGTTTATGAGGCAATCAAGATCCCTCGCTAACCCATCGCTAAATAGTTCCCTCGCTAAATGTTTCTTTCGTTAATCCGTCGCTAATAAATTTCCCTCGCTGATAACCCTCTCTTGCTAATCCATCGCTAAAACATACTTGTTGCTAATCCATTGCTAAATTCCGTCGTTGCTCCATCATTGATATATAGCATTACCTACGAGTTTTTGACCCACGAACTATCAACGACTGATCCTACTTTTAGCGACGGATTAGAGACGGATCTTTCCATCGCTGATAGCCCACATTTTTGTAGTGAGCTTTTTAAGTATTTGTTTTTGGTATTTTGGTGGGCCTTTACACCCTGAAAGAGGAGGAAGGAGGATTGGATGGTCTTTTTTAAAGAAATGTATTTTAGGGTTATTTTGGTAATTTTTTTTTCTAAAAGAACATTCTAGCAAAGAACACATTTTTTACGCCCCATGGCAAAGAGTTTGATTTCTTTGGTGGAAGGTGCAAGACGTTTTTCACCTTCACTCTGTTTCTCTAATTTTGATTCATCCCCATTTTTCAAAACAATTCCACCCGCTAAATGGTTTGATCTTTTTCCTTCCCACATCTTCCTTTTATCTCTGATTTAGGAAAAATAGATATGAAACAGATACTAATAAAACAAACGAACCCTATATATATTATCTAAACGTAAGGTTTAGAAGTAGAGGAAGAATGAAATTGTTTCCTTTCCTAACGTTCAACAAAAGTAAGAATTGATTCGAATTCTCTGTCTCGACTTTTCTTTCCTCCATTCTATCAAACACACCTTTAAGGTTTCCTTGCACTTGTTCACTTATCTTGTAGATTCTTTAAGGGTGGACAAGGGTTGCTCAGGTTATGCTGGAACGGGGCAGTGTTATTGGCATATTGAAGACGATAATAGCAAGGAAAAGTATGCTGAGAAGCCAAGAATGTCTCGTTAAACACCATTATGTATTATTTGTAGGAAAAAAACAGTCACTTCAAAATAAATGACAAATAAGAATGAGGTTTGATTGAAATCATTTTAAAATATGAACAGAAAAAGCCCATAGATTTCCGAAATCTATAATGCCCAAAACATCAACATTTCTTCTTACATAATCTAGCTACTATCAATTCTTCAAGATCATATGCATACATACACACATTGATACGGTCTCTATCACACATCATATATATGTACATGCATATATACATGCATTCTTACATATAGATTCAACTGAAAACAACAAAAATATTGGATATTTGGGAACATATTTCAACCCTTAGATGGATTTGATCCAAGAGATGTGATTAAAAGGGAGGTTAAAACTTTATTTTTTAAAGCTACCCCAACCCCCATTTATAATAAAAAAATATGCGAAATATAATAAAAGTTAGAGTCAAAGAAGTTATACAAAAAACGGGCATTTTATTCTATTGAATTTGACATCCATATAGTTATACATTTTCATTGCTATTGTTCATATATATATATATATATATATATATATATATTTCCAACATATTTGTTGTTTCTATTTGAAGTCTTATAAGAACCCAAATTTTAAGAACATTATCAAGTATTGGATCTCAAAAGATAGATGCCTCAAATTATATATAATTGCTCCTATAAATCATGAATTTGGTTCGGAAAAATGTAACCGATTTTATTATGCATAAAGTGTGGATTAAAACCAATCCATGGTTAATAAAGGTTCTCCTCCTGTTTTCTTTTTCCTGATTCAATCAGCACATTTATATAACCTTTATTTCCTAGTTTTGTGTAGCTTTGTTTTTTAAAGGGTATTCCACTGGACCCTGATCCAAAAATAAAGATATTAAATTAGTTTCCGAAACGAATATAACCCAATTAAGTTCTTGATGGGGTGCCTTTGTACGTCGGTGTGAGTTTATGCTTTTGATTTTTGAGATATTTGATATTTAGTGAAATTTAACACTACTATTTACTTAACGGTTAAGATTTTAGTCCACCAAAACGAAATCGTATGTAACAATTTACATGGCAAACGCTTACCGTGGTAAGAGTCGTGACTCTCACTTACCGGGTAAGACTCTTGGTCCTTGTCTCGTTCTTACCGAGTAAGAATTCTTGGTTAGTACCATATTCTTCGGGTGAGGTAATTTGACTTGGTAAACGCTTACCCGGATAAGCGTTTGGTAAACGGCTCCTTAATCTGAAGCATAACAATGCATCTAAACTTACATTTCGTTTCAAAACAAATGCAATTAGTGGTTTGAACTTTTGAGTCATCTACATAAATACAGCATCTTTGAAAATATAATTCAAGTTTATCTTTTTGTTTTTTACCAATCACTATAAGCTAGTGATGATACCGATTTTTGTTTGTAAGCCTTTTCATTTTTTGTTTTATTAAATTAAATTATACATATTTGATTGTTAATCAGCCATGTAATTAACTATGTCAAATGATTAAATACTATTTTTGGGATAAAGAGAGTATATGTTTCCTATTTCAAGTGAATTCTTGGGATGGTGTAATATTATGAGAATCAATGACTGCTTATTGGTATGTAGTTTCTTTGAACACCATAAATACTCTAGTAACATTGACTGATTTGTATGTTCAATGTGTTGCATGGCTTAAAAGGTTCATTTTTCGGTAAATAAAGGCTAGACTTTGGACTCCTATCCATAGGTTGTCGGTTTGAGTCTTTTTATCTTCAATTCCAAGGTGTACGGAAACTAGCTGAGACACCATGATTACCAAAATAAAGATTCATTGTTTTGGCCTTCATCCCTATATAGTTGTAATTAAGATGATACTAAACCATTTTTGTGTCTATATTAATTTCTTACTGCAAGGAATCTCCATAACCAATTTTCCATTTTCAGCTCTCTTCAGCCTTAAAATCGACGAAAGCTTTTTCTTGATCGAGGAGCGAAAGAAAATGAATTCCTTGAAGAAGAATAAGCAGTATAGATCAACTAAAAGTACTAAATCACTAAGAAACCAAAATTAATGCCTGAATCCATTGTTTAATCGTCTTCTTTACGTGCAACTTTGACAACGGACGAACCAAGTTTTAGGTGTGATGGCCTTCCTTGAAGGTTCATTTTTTTGGCCTTCATCCCTGGCCGAAAAGTTGGGTGTTAGTTTATAAACTAGTTGTTAGCTAGAAGATCTTTGTTGTTAGGTAGAAGCTAGTTATATTTGGTAAAAATTAACTAAACCTGATCTAAAAGAATATGCTCATAATTTAATTGGAAAGGAGCATAATTGGAAAAAAAAAAAGGGGGGGAAAACCCTGAAGCTTGTTGAAACGCTACTTGAGGTATTTTTTTCAAAAAGCTAGCTTATGGCTAACCAAATGGGTTGGCAAAGGTCACCATAAGCACCTGAGGTATTGAATAGTTGTACTGTTGATCCTGATCATATGCTCAATTATTGCCAAGCCAGAAAACTTTANCTTTGTTGTTAGGTAGAAGCTAGTTATATTTGGTAAAAATTAACTAAACCTGATCTAAAAGAATATGCTCATAATTTAATTGGAAAGGAGCATAAAAAAAAAAAAAAGGGGGGGGGGGGGGGGCCTTAACCTTATTCAAACCCTATTTGAAATATCTATTTTCAAAAGGAACTCATAAAAGCTAGTTTATGGTTGGCAAAGGTCACCATAAGCACCTGAGGTATTGAATAGTTGTACTGTTGATCCTGATCATATGCTCAATTATTGCCAAGCCAGAAAACTTTAACTGGAAAACAAAAACTTGCATGAGAATTCCTTAATTAGTTGCACATCAACGAGTAAGATTGGCATAGATAGTTCAGTGGTCTTCAACAGGGTGTCCAACCTACATATATAAGAAAAGGCGACTGCAGGTTCACAATCATACTCAAACATCACCTCATAGGAAAACCAGCCATGGAAAAAGAAACAATTACATGCATATATATATATATATATACACACACACACGATATTTATGGATTCTTAGGGAGTAATTGATATTCCCCATTTGGAAGCATATTTTGCGAGCTCATCTATCTCCTCATCGCAGATCAGACCATCACCATTAGCATCGGAATGGCGCACTGCACGCCAGGCTCTGAAGCCTGCAAAACGTATGCCAAAGCTCTTCAATCCTACCTTTAATTCCTTCCGACTGAGCTTGCCATCTCCGTTGGTGTCAAATGATCTGAAAACACCCTTCATCTGGTTTTCGTACCATGGCACTTCTACGCATCTACCACACCAACCTTTTCGCATTCTCAAAGAAATATTAAGGGAAAAAACTCCGTATACAGAAGCTGGCTGTTGTTTGTGTTACTAAGAGGCCTAGAAATCATGAAATATTTATATGCACATTCGTGGTCATTATCTTCTTTTTATTCTGCTTTACTTTTTTTTCTTATTGTGTTATTAATTTGGCTGTTAAACCAAGCTAAGAATCTGGGCACGTGTGGAATCTTATATTATATAATAATTGTTTCACACAACGAAAAATAATGACAATGGCCTACATAATTCTATTGCTACGGAAAAGATAACTTAACTTAAGCAACGGAAATGCCACTCCCTACCAACTAAACCTCTTAGAATTATTGATTGAAGGTCAATTTAGTAGCAATTATGTAATATTATTTGTTGAACAAAATTCTTCGAGAGCGCCTAGATCGATCTTGCACGAGGATTGGATTTATGATAATATAGAAGTTTTCTCACACAATTCTTTGACATTGAGAAGTGTTGGGAAACGATGCTTAAGATCACTCATATGAACATGGCGACGATAAAGTAAGAACAGAAAAAGAGAAAGAACACACATGATTTTAGGGTTTACAATTACATGAGATTGGATTTATACAAGTAAAATAGGTTAAACTCCCAAGTGGGCCGAACCCACAATCTTGAGTGTTTCCTTTCTCTAATATTTGGCCTAACTGCCAATTAATCAGATTCCATAACTTAACAATCTCCCACTTGGAGGCTGATCAGCTCCAGTACCATCCATGTTCCATAACTCCAGTCAACCCTAACATCTATAATGTGCGATGTGTTCTTCATCAATCATCTAGAAGGCCAGTTGAAGCTATACAAAGCTTCAGCTTATCAGTTGTCACCACCTTAGTAAACATGTCTGCAAGATTCTTTGAATCAAGGATCTTTCTTAACGACAACGTTCCATCACTTACCAAATCTTGGATAAAGTGATACCTCATCTTTATGTGTTTTGTCCTACTTTGAAACACCAGATTCTTCACGAGGTTTACTGCACTGTGGTTATCACAATATATGACACAATCTTTTTGTTTCATGCCTAATTCTGAAGGAAAGTTCTTCAACCATATGAGCTCTTTGTTTGCTTCTACAAGTGCCATGTATTATGCTTCTACGGTTGAGAGAGCAACATTTCTCTGTAATCTAGAGATCCAACTAAACAGTTGTTCCTCCCACTATGAACACATAACCATTTGCTTGAGTCTGAACAACCACCCATGTCAACATTTGCATAGCCATCTAAGACAATATCTTTCTTTTTGAAACATAGTGCTAACTTAGATCTGCCCTTCAAGTAGTGTAAAAGCCACTTGAATGCTTCCCAATACTCTTTTCCTAGATTTGACATGAATCTGTTAACAACTCCCACTACATAAGTAATGTCTGGTCTTGTTCATACATCAAGCTACGAACTGCAGATGCATAAGGAACTTTCGCCATCTCTTCCTTGCCTTTATCCGTTTGAGGTGATTGTTCCTTTATAAGCTTGAATTGACCTAGGGGAGTACTTTTGACCTTAGCATCCTTTAGATTGAACTTCTCTAGAACCTTCGCAATGTATTTCTCTTATGATAACTTTAGAGTGCCATCTGCTATATCTCTTTTGATGCTCATCCCAAGAATTTGCTTTACTGCCCCTAAATCTTTTATCTTGAATCTTGAGATAGTTGTTTCTTTAATATGTTGATTTCTTTCATATATGATCCTGCAATCAACATTTCATCAACATATAACAACAATATAATATAGGAAGACTTGAATTTCTTCAAGTAATAGTAGTGGTCCATGCGACATCTCATGTACCCCTTCCTCCTCATAAAGTTGTGAAACTTCAAGTACCATTGCCTCGGTAGTTGTTTCAAATCGTACAAGATTTTCTTTAACTTACACACCATGTTTTTCTTTCCAGTTACCTGAAAGCCTTTTGGTTGCACCATGTAGAATACTTCATCAAGATCTCCATGTAAGAATATTTTCTTGACATCTAGCTGCTCTAGATGCAAGTCTTCTGCATTTACTATACTTGAGACTAATTGGATTGTAGTCATCTTCACAACTGGAGAGAAGATCTCATTGTAATCGACCCCTCTTTTCTGTTGAAACCCTTTGAATACCAATCGTGCCTTATACCTTTTGCTGCCATCATGTTCTTCTTTGATCATGAACAACCATTTGTTTTGCAATGCCTTGTTTTCTGCCAGTAATCTGACCAAAGAACAAGTATGTTTCTTTTGTAATGAACCCATTTTTCTTTCATAGTCTGCTCCCACTTTACTGATTCTTTTTAATTTTACGGCTTCTGAAAAGACGTTCTAACTCACATCTTCGTTCAACAATAAATAGTTTGCAGATGGAGAATATGTCTTTGTAGGTCTGGATTCTCTAGAGGATCTCCTTAACCATGGAATTTCTGAGAAAACTTCATCAGTATTGTTGTTTTTTGTGCTCCAATTATCAGCTAAGCTTCCGCTATCAATTCAGCTCTCATTGATTTTTGATCCCTCACTGAAAACCGAGTCCTAACTAGTTCCCATCTCCTCACTTGAATCGGCTTTCTTTCTTCTATCTGAGCCTGCAAGGTTACTTTTTATCATGTCTTCAAACACAACTTGATTTCTCGTCATTGACTGTTTTTTTAACGCTCTTTTCAGAATAGTTTGTTTCTGGTTTCTTGTGCATAGAACTTTCATTATTGGTTATATCTCGGCTTATGATGACCTTTATGTTCTGATCATCCCAAAACCTGTAGCCCATCTCGTCTGAACCGTATCCAATGAATGTGCACTTCTTTGCCTTTGCATCTAGATTATCTCTATCAACATCTTTCACTTTGACATAAGATGCACAACTAAAAATTCTCAAGTGTATGAGACGTATCTCCTTATCCAACCATTCTTTTTCTAGAATCTTGAACCCCATAGGAACCGAATGTCCACGATTGATGAGATACGTTGTTGTACTAACTGACTCTGCCAAGAACATCTTTGGCAACTCTATATGAATCCTCATACTCTTTGCCCTTCCGTTCAGTGTTGTGTTCATTCTTTCAGCAACACCATTCTGTTGAGGCTTCTTTAAGACTGTTTTAAGCATTCTAATCCCGTGCTGCTATATTCACCTCCATTATCAAACTTCAAACACTTTATTTTCAAGTTAGTCTCATTTTCAACAATAGTTTTCCACTTCTTAAAAGATCAAAAACATCAGCTTTATTTTTCAGAAAATAAACACATACCTTTCTGGTGGAATCATCGATGAAGGTGACGTAGTAATTCGATCCGCCTACTGATGAAACTGATGTAGACCCGTAGACATCTGTATGAACCAACTCCAAATTTTTAGATTTTCATGTCATACCTGCTTTTGCAAAGGTAAAATTTTATGTTTATTGTAAACACAAGGCTCACAGAAACCAACTACCACATTTTTCAGACCTGAAATCTTACCCTTTGAAGCTAGCATCCTCATACTTTTCTTGCTCATGTGCCCATGTCTTTGTTGACAATGTAGAGCCCCTCATGTCATTAATAGTTGGGTTGACTCCATCTATTGGTACTTAAACCATGTATAAAGTCCCCTTCTTATGACAACATGTAATAACCAAACTGCCTTTTATCAATTTCCATTGACCATATGTGATGTCCCTGATCATCCAAGTGCCCAACTGAGATCAACATTCTTTTGAGATCTGGAATGTATCTCACGTTCTTCAACGTCATATCGATACTAAGAGGAGTTTTGATAACTATGTCACCCATGCCCTTGATGTCCAATGTTTTATCATATGCTAATCGAACTTTGCCAAAATTTCCAGCCTTGAAATTCTATATCATGTTCGTGTTGTGAGAGGCATAGAATGAAGCCCCAAAATCCATAATGTTGATGCTCTCTCTCAGAGATTTGAAAAAATAATCCCTTTTACCTTATACGAAATATTATTGTTTCTGTCTTTCAGTTCCAACAATCATCACTGAGTCTGTTCAGTGATCGCTGAGAACATGTAATGTAAATCCATCAGCGACAGCGATACTTCAAGAAGACAAAACTCACACAAAAGAACCTTCGACGAAATTCGAAGACTGAAACTGAAGATTTGAGACGGGCGAGTTCGTGATTTGAAGCGGCATTCAGTGATTACAACATGGTCTACATATGTGTGAAGATTGCCCAAGCCTTAGTGAATCCTGAAAAGACCTTCAGGGTTATTCCAACATTCAGCAATCAAAAGAAGCTTGTTGAGCAAGATTACTTTTGTTTTGTCCTTCCACACAAAGGACAAACCCATACCCTTTCTAGAGTATAGTACGGTTCGGAGCTGATTAGTTTACTCTATTATCCACGAACTTCATGAAATGATGTCTGCTCATGAATAGGCTTTTGTACTATTCACTGTAGCAAATGACAAGTCTTTCTCTAAAGGCTTGACGCATGTTCAAACCCTACTTCATTGCATTAAATGTGCATTTAATGCAATGGGTATAAATAGATGTCTTCTATCTCCATACAAAGATACTCTTACTCTTGAAACCTAATTCTTACGTTCATACGTGAAAGAACACACATCTAGGAACACAATATGCTTATCTTCAAAAGCAAGTTAGAATCCCTTTTAAGTATTCTAAATACTTCTTACCCAGATAGAACTTACTTTCTTCTAAGTCTTAAACAACAAATCATTTCTCTTTGCTAAGAACTTGTGTGTAACTTAGATTGTTTAGATAGGTTATCTTTACCTTATCTTTTCCGTAAACAATCTTGTAAAATCTGTATTGATCCTTCTTTATCAATATATATTTTAAATTTGAAAAGTTTACTGTGTTTCTATTCATCCCCCCTTCTACAAACTATTTATACACATCTTGTAGACCCTAATGGGACCAACACATAATCCAGGATTCAGTAATTGGACTATCAACACAACAAATTAGTGCATCGTCAGAATCTTCAGAGGCTAGGTTAAATCTTTGCTTACCTTTTTCGGTTGTCCCTGCCGTACACTGATTTATGAAGTTACCACTTTGTTTGCAATTTAAGCACGT